GTGAGAAAAACATACTCATATGGACTGGTCTCAGTTCATGTGGAAATTGTCGCACATTCATCAGCACAGATAAAATGAATATTAACCCTCACCACACATATAAGTAGAGGTAAGTTAGACCGCGCCCCCTGTTTTTCACCAATATGAAATCACGGCAAAGCGAAGGATTGCATTGCGACGATTCTTTGGTGCCCTGGAGTTAATCAATTTTACAACTTCCCGGAAAATTTAATAGTCCTTATCATTTTTGCATCTTCTCCGAGAATTTTAAATCCCTCAACCAAATTACCTTTGACCTGTGATTATTTTTCTCAAGATCATGTCAGGCCAGAATAGCAATTGAAAGTCAGCGCACATCTTCTATGTGTTTCCATAGTCGTTTCGTGATTAGGGGCGTGACAACATGTAAAATATACTATTTAATGTTTGTCTCATTGATTGTTGTGGGTGCCAAGGTCACGTGAAACTCAGGTTAAGGTCATTTACTTGAAATGATCTCCGTTAACTTCCTTTAATTTACGCCTTTTTACCGTGTTTTTTAGGAAGTGCTGGTTTGAAATTTAGCACCCATTTTAGCATTTGAAAACTAGGCATAGTTTGGTATCAGGTATAGTGCCTATGCAACATGTTGCAAGGCTGTCAGTGCTGGTTAATTAACATTCTATGGATAGCCGGCGGAACGCCTAAATCCTAATGGATGATCTGGCGTGACCCGTCCTACCCGCAATGCTTTGATACATCATCTTTGAACAAAGCAAGTGAAAATTCGAAGTCAGGAGCAAGCCAAGTCTCAGCAAACTTCACTTGGAGAAATTCTAGCAGGACCCAATTTTCCGTGCTTTTGGGTTACCGACCTCCTGATCTGGGAGGTCGACCTAGGATCTCAACATTGACCAGGACATAGGTAAAGATAATTGGCTTTCTCTCGTCAGCGATGACCAGGACCCTAAAATCATTGGATTTCTCTCGTCACGAGCAGCACGCTCTTTTTTTCTTTTTCATCGAAGCTCTGGCTCTATTATCAAGGGCCGAACAACGTAATGTTTCTACGCGCCTCCGCTACATGTTAGACGCTGAAAAATGCCTAAATTGGTGAGGTTTAAATATCGATTGTTTTTTAAGTGCCGAAACACTTTAAGTTACTTCGATAGCAGTTTTTAAGACCAACGAGCTCGAAAACAGCAACTTCTTGAATAATGTAAGCATCATATAAAATGAATCGTGAGAGAAGCGGCTCAAGATTGAGGAGCTATAAGACACTTGATAAAAAACGGCATAGATTAGAAACAGCACTTACCTAACTTGCACTGCCGTTTTTAAACCTTTCCGTTGCAGACTGGTAGATCAAATTTTAGGATGGATTTCATCTGACGCTCAAATGATGTAGAGCTTTTCATTCGTTCATTCATGCGACCATCCATTCATAAAAGAATTAAATCAAAGTTGAGAGCCCCAAATACGTAACATAATTGAGGGCATTTTAGGCCATCACAGTATTTGTCAACAATTGTTGTTGTTGGGGGAGGGGGGACTTGGGAGGGTGGTTGCTGGCTCATAAACTGTAAAAAAAAAAACGAACCGATCATCCGCGAATGAACTATTGAGCTCGAGCCGAGCTGACGAATCGATTTATAGGTATGCAACATGACTCACGATGCCACTTTTTGACTTCTTGTGTCGGTATAAATTCCATCATCTGGATAGCACGTAACATTCTATTTGACATTTTGCAATAACGTATACTATTTGGCGCGATTAGCCTCAGAAATGTTCTGAAACTAAAACCGTTTCTTTGCAATTAACTTTGCCCACGTCATTCCAGCTTATGCACTGCAAAAATAAAATAATGTTTCAGGGTCACTGGCCTGAATTCCAATGCTTAAGGTTTACTTAAAACCGCTGTCTGAGGTGATTCGCTACATCTCGTGACGGCCACCGTTGTGTTGCATCTTTTCGGTAAGCTATAACTTAATAAGGAAAGGATTGTGAGTGTGTTGAAAACAGCCCTCCCCCCTCTCCTTCTTCTGGAAACATAAGTATTCGAAAGATCAGGCGGCAATGGTTTATCCACCTCGTCTGCCGCCGCGCTGCGAGGCCTCGATTCGTTCGGCATGTGGATTCCTGAGCGGTCCTCCCCGGAGGCAAGGTGAAAGGTCATGGCCTTTATCATAAATTTATACGTTCCTGGATATGTTTTACAGTTCTTCCAAGGCCTTGGACACCGTTTTATTATATCGGATAAGCTTTGCACTTTCTTGTCAATCAATACATTTAAAGAAAACTTTATCATAATCTCATACTGCGGCAATTGTAGTTCTGCTTACCGTTGCCTCTTTATGATACAGGCCACCACTGCGCTGGAGCTCTGGCGTTCTACCCCTCCCCGCTACGGACCGGCCCTCGGGCTAGGTGTGTTAGTACTGAGCGCAAACGTGTAGTAGTCACGTGACTTTCATTCACGTAGCGGGAGCGGGAGCTATAGGCGATACCAAGGACGGGCTCTGGGGAGGCAACCGGCACAGAAAAATAGCACGATTGTAGTTTTAGAAGAATATCTGTTGCGATAAGAGAAATTATACAAAACATACGTCCTAGGAGCAAACATGTGTTATTCCTCCATACTTTGCGCTACATTTCCTTTCTCCGATGGCCAGCACTTAGCAAATAATAGCACAATTCTGAATTGGTAATATATGTGTACAGTAGCAACTGCGGGTCCCTGTACCAGTCAAGGGTGTGTCCGATGGTGGACTTAGGGACTGGTTATGCCAAACTCATGACGGTTACCATTGATATGGAAACAGGTTTGGCATTGATACTGGTATTGCTTAGTTTTTCTATACATGGAACTTTGAAATCAGCACGCCCTGCTCCATGGTTTTAACTGCTTACTATCACTTTTCTAAAGCCGACATCACGTAGCAGGCGTGTGGCGTTGTGTGGTGTTGTGAAAAATTATACCGAAACCATGTAGGAATCTGGGTGTTCTAATAATTAGTGATGAATTCTCTCTGGACCGAGATCAGGTTATCGATGGGGATTGAGCGGGCCACGTAATGGCTCATTAAATGGCCCCGATCGGACCGGGCGGGACGCGGCGGGGCGCCGAGCGACAGGTGGTGCTCCGGCAGGTATTAGCCGCCCGCGCCGCGCGTCCGTCCATTGGTCCGGTGTGGCTTAGTCACAAGGAGTCATAGGTTTTATCATAGACCTCTGTAAACAGAGGTCTAACAATGTTTACAGAGGTCTATGGTTTTATTCTTTTCATGCAACGGCTAACAGTAATTATGAGATTGATTATTATTTACTGATGCTCAAACATAAAGCGTCCGTTTTCTTTGCGTCCCTATTACAGATTAAGAGTTTGAATTCATGGATGTCGGACTTTTTATATGAATTGATTTTTTACGCGTAGGTTATGGCTGACTGTTGGAAGACTTTCACTGAATCTGGTCTTGTAGCCGGGAAGTCCCCTGGATACCTGGCTTTGTGAATTAGACCTTGCTGGCATTTTGTTTATTGTCTAAACCGCAAATGCCGGGAATGACCTTGTGGGGCTCCCCATTATCGTGTTGTGCTAATCGCCCTTAGCCTCCATTAAACGTTAAGTGTTTTCGTGGCGACAGCGTAGAGACGATTATGTCTGAGCGGCGACGATTAGCGCCGCCTGAAGCACCTGCCCCCTGCCGGTGGCGTCCAATATTCAACACGAACCGCCAGCACGATATTGTGCACGGTGTGAGACATACTCTGATCGCAAACCACTCGGGGGACCTGAACTTTGATGAGCGCCTTAAGTATGGGCACCTTCATTTTGTTTTGTGACTTCGTCTCAATGGACGCCTCTTTTGTCCAACCAGCTCCAGGGACTTTGCTGTGTAAAGACCATCCATTTTTCGGGGATATTTGGCTCTTGAAGTAATTTCATTCTTGACAACTAGGTTTGTAAATCGAGATGTTTAGGTAGAAAGGTATATCGAGGTAGACTGTTGGACGTTCCACTGGAGCTCGACAGAACTGAAAACGGTCGCAGAAAAAAGCAGATCGTTACTAAACCTAACCGATGTATGGGCGTGGCTGATATGATCCCGTTCACCAATCATTATCATATAACTGATAACACTATCATGTTGATGTGTGTAAGTTTTATTCGATCGCACCGAGACATATGGATATCGTAAGACCAACTAAAGCTGCCCCCAAAACAATGCCGTGCTGAAGAATCCAACCGACCACCGTTTTCGAGTCGGGTTACATAACTCATCGCGTCACGCCCTTTTGTGTACACATTTGATCGAGGCTCTTGACTGAGCGACGCTGATCAAACATTACCTTTGTTGGACTCTCGCTTTCGTTCAGGTATCTCATTCTGTTATTTTTTGTCGCTGTCACTAGCTCGACCAGAACTGGTACGCGTTTGCCTTGAGAAGACCAGCTGCGCACCGTTCGACCCACAGATGCAAACAGTAAATCGACCCTCAATGCAATTGTTCGTAGGTTCCTTTGTGAAGGTGGTGTGGTATGCAACTCCGTTGGGAGAAATGGATTCCTTTGTGACTGGTATACACCCTGCCCATATGTCTTGTATGTGTACTCTGGTGACCCCTGTTGTGCATGCGATCTGTGCTCGTTCTGACAGATATATTCTGTGCTCATTTATAACAGGTGTCTTTGGTGCGTCTTTATGAAAGATGATCACTGTGTTTTTAGTTTTTTCCCCTTATTTTAAACTATAATTGTCTTTTCTTGTCATGGTGCGTCTGACCCTTTTTGCAAAACTACTTATTTTTGCATGCTTATTGCATATTTTGCGTGATTGCGCAATGTCTAATATAATTTGGTGTCCTAGAGCTAGACTTTCGTACGTTATGCTTGCTGACAGCAGACCATTCGGGGTTTCCCTGAAGTGTTTTTCTCCTTGGGGCACTGAGTGACATCATCCGACCGTATTCGTCGGCTGGTATATTGTCTGGCAAGTCTGACATTCCACACAGTCTCCGTAGATATGAGCGATTTATTTACATCGACCGCATACACTCGGAGAAAATGCGAGCAAGCTCAGGTCGTTACTTACACATACAGTCTCATCTCGACGCACTTACGCCGGGATGCACACGCTGTCCGTCCCAGTTCGCATTACCACTGATCACGGGATGAATATATAGACACGCAGTGTGTGGCCATCCACGGGTCGCCTCGCCCGGCTGCGGGTGGCGCGTCCCTCTGTCGCACGCGAGCGCCCTCAATAAATAGCTCGTGCGTGGTCGTCGAGTCGGCTGTGTCGATGCCCGTCGGTGCGCCCCGGCTGGCTGCGGTGGCGCTTGGGTGGCCGGCCGGCGGCGGCGGCCGTGTCACGGACCGGGTCCGCGCGGGCTCCGGCGCGTCGGAGTGGGCGTGCTAGACGGCAGGCGGGCCGCCAGCGCTTCATCTCCTCCGCCACAGATACACTGAAACGCAGAGGGCGGGGTCAGGTCAGGGTCGCGGCAGACGCTCCGAGGTCGGTCGGGTCGGGGCATCGCTCGGGGCATCTCTGGCTGTGTGGGTGTTGTGAGGCGGCTGATTTGACCGGAGATCGTGGTGAAGGCCAACGAAGACAATTTGTCTCTCCGAGTGTGAGGACTGTGCCGGTTGTGATGGCTGTGACTGCACTCAGACTACAGACAGACGCCATTTTAGGCACAGGAAGCGAGTAGCACCGATCGGGGTGCGGCTACTGAGCCTTGCTGATCCCGCACCGCCCATCTCCCGACCCGTGGAGCTGCCCTGTTATGGGCAGGGCGTCAGGCGAGCCAGGGTCATGGCATCTTGAGCGGATGGGGCGCCGAAGCGGGTGGTTTACCCACCCTCCAAACCACCGCCTGGGACTGGCGTAGGTCATGACTCGACATGACGTCGGCCTAATGTCATAACACCGCTATCACCAATGTCCTAACAAAGCCATCAGCACACGCGGCCTTTGAAACACTGCGGGCCACTGTTGACTGGTTGAGTGACTGCCGACTTATGGCGGTCTCAGCCCACCTACCCCCGTTCAACGCGCGACTCTCGGCAGCTCGGCCAGGAAGTGCCGTCGATGGGCGGCGCCCAAGGCTTCAGTGCGCTGCTCAAAGAAGCGGCCTGTGCTTGTCGAGCGGGCGTGGATCACCCGTCTGCCGACAGCCGGCTTTGTAAACAGCGACGCACCAGTGAAATCCGCTCCGACCGACATCGGTGGGAAGCCGTCATATCGACGCGGGAGAAGCCGAATGGGAGGATTAGTGTCTCTTTCAGTTGATTTTTAGGAGTCGGCTCACTGTTAGCGGAGACCAGTCTCTTGCACGCAGCTGCTGTGCGGTGCATTTGACAAGCATTTGTACGCAGCTGTTGTGCGGTGCCAATGGGACTCTGTTTGCAGCGGTGTCCAGTGTCAATGCCATGAGGCCCGGCGCGGCCCCGCTGCGGTCGCGCAGTGTGGTTCCCAGCAGTAGATAAGCGCACGCTGCAAATGGGCCGCACACCTGGCTGTGGGAACCATTGCGGTGTGGTTGTTTATCATTACAATGTGGACCAGGTAAATTAGCCGGATGCTTGAGATACCCATAAAATCCCACGGTGTGATGAAACAGCTGCAACCGAATCGTTATGGTCCGACTCGCACTGTGCCGCTTGAGGTCACGTCTGGACTCGTATTCAAACCACTTCAAGGCCGTGGAACTCTGAGCTTGTGGGAGCTGCAGCGACTGCAGCGGCTGGGGCAGCCGTGCAGCGGCGGGCTGCAGCCGCGTGGCCTCCCCGCCGAGCCGGGGTCGCCTGCCTGGTGGGGTCGTACACCTTGTGCTCGTCGCCAGCCTGTCCTGACGGCCCAGCGCCGCCGGCAGGGTCGCAGCCTTGGACATGGCGCGCCGCACCAGCCGGCACTGACGGCCGCCGTGACGTCATCCTCGCCGTGACGTCACGGTCAGCTGGGACCGGACGGCGCGCGTGTGCCGGTGCACGTATCTCCGTGTATGTGTTTGGTCTAGTTTGGTGGGCGCGTGGGCGGTACGCACGCGCCGCACCGGTCGGTGTGCGTGTCACCGACGGTGTCGCACCAGGGGGACCTCCTCCGCCTGACGAAACCGGACCGGCGCGGCGCGGTGCGAGATAGCCGGCCGGCCGGTGGGCCCGCAGCGGCGCGGCGGCCGCTCGGTCAGGGTCGGTGCGCGCCGCCGCCGGCGCCGGCCGGCCGCCGTGCCAGCCTGCGCCGCAGCGGCCGGCCCAATTCGGTCAGGGCTGGCCGCCGTGGGCCGTGTTTGACCGGCCGGCGTGTTTGGTGGGAACCCCGGCGAGTTGGCGGCACACAGGACGGCCGACCTGGGTCACCAGAGCGCAGCTGGTCTGCACCACCGCTGTCGGGCCGCACCAGTTCGCTCGGCCGGCTCAGACAGGTGACAGAACATCGCAGAGGCGCACGGGCTATCCGTCAGTCAGTGCTCGATCTATCTGCGGCTGACACTGGGTACTGCGGCTGTAACTATTCCAAGCCGTGGCAGACAATGACCGAGGTGTCCTGGGGCCGCCCGCCGCCCAGCCCATCAGTCCACCAGCTGTGGCCGGGCCCGGCGGCGGCGCCTGCAACTGGCCGCGCTGTCCCGTCCACTGTTCACTGTTCAGTCCCTCGGTCATGTCAGACAGCTGCCGCTGTGACCCAGCCTCGGCCGCTCCCCGCGGCGCGCCGCCGACGTATTGTCCGCCGGGACCGGGCACGGACCGACTGCTGACGGCGCCGGTTAGCCCCCGTCCGAGCCGAGACGGTCAGAGGGTGATGCAACGACTGCCTACCGCCCACGGCCGGCGGGGCGGGGGCGGAGGGCCGTGGTGGCCGCACACGACGTCACGGCGCCGCTGGGCGGAGCCGCGGGGCCGCCACGCTCCGCTCAACCCGGCGCCCAAGTGGCCGCTTCCGCCAAGGGCGGCGCTGCCGTGCGGCCGCAGTTGCGTGAGATGGAGGCGATCCGGCTGAGAGGTGAGCGGATCGCTGGCGTCACCGTCCCTGCCGCCGGCCGGCACATCCGACCCGGCGGCACGCAGCAGCCGACGGCCAGGTGCAGGCCGGCCGTGCCGGGCAGCGGGAGAGAGGGGCGTGTTGCAGGAACGTGACCCTTACCGCTGGGGTGGCCGAGCTGGATGGAGAGGTAGCGGTACGTGAGTGCCGGGCTCAGCACGATTCTGACCTCGTGTGAGGTATTTGGAAGGCCTGATGGACGGTAGCGCCGATGGTGTTGAATGCACGTCCAGCTGTGGCTGGAGTTCACGGTCACGGCCGAACACTGTTGTTTGGCTCGTTGACTCCCGAGGGACAATTGAGTAACCCGGCGTATGTGTGAAACTGTTAGGTCCCCACGCCAGATATAGCATACGCGTGTGACCGCCGTGAGAGCCTCCCACAACCGACCGCAAGTGTCCCTAAAGTTTAACACACTTCGCGCACATAACCCATCTCGTGATGATCAACTGACCGAGGACGTTCAACCCGTCACCTCTCATACAGGCGTGACCCGAGTCTGCACTCACCTTCCATATAGATGACGGTGAGAATCATGCCGAGGAGGAAGGACACGCAGAACGTTAGCGTGATCTTGAGCACGGACTTTGAGGCACAGCAGCTGACGGTCTGCTTGCGCGCCGCCATTGCCGCCTTGGCGTCAATGTACGTGAAGGACGGCGTCGGACTGAGTGACTTCTTCATCGGCTGCTTGGGCGTCGGCACGCTGATGGTTGTCTGTGGGGCAGAGGGGAGAGAGCGGTGTCAGAAGGGGGCGAGAGGAGAGCATCAGCGGGGAGGGGCAGACTCACAGTTCGCACACGCGAGATCTGGCTGGCTGGCGCGGCTATTGCGGCACGGGAGTAGTTTGTGTTATTGGAGAGTGTTGAAACCGGACGGGACAAGTGGCGGCGGCCGCTGATGACCGAAATGTTTGGCTATCATTGGCGCCGCGAACGGAAGTGTCATCAGCGAATTTATGTCGTAAGAGTAATTCGCTGGATTCGCTAATTCGGAGGACCTTCGCACGTTTGCTTTCAGGTTTTCTTGAGCTCTACGTATTACTCAAGGGATGCATGCGCGTCTTTGTTAGCACTAAGCGCTTTGGGGACCCAAGCATTTGAGCTCCATTACTCCCCCAGTCTCTTTCCTCTCCTCCATCTCTTCCCCTCCACTCTTCCCCTCCTCTCTTGCTGAGCGGTGGGGTCGAATCGTCTACCAAGGGTTCGGAATGCGACCTTCGCCGAGCCTTAGTCGGCTCTGACTGGTCCCACGTCACGCGAGTCGTGTCCGATGACACATGGTGACGCACGATGACACACGGCGACACTACCTGCCGGCTGGTGACACTGTCCGACCTTGTGTGGCACGTCCTCCGTCCGCTGATCCCCGTCTCCAACCGCTACCGACCCCAGTCAGTGTGACAGACGGAGCTGCCGGGTGGCACGGTGGACCGGGCGGCTGACCAGATCACGTCAGAGATCCGGCGACTCCGGGAAGGGTAGGAGGCCGGACAGGGTCAGGTCGGGTCGGCCGGTCACCGGACATACCATCTGTAACGGGGGTGTCTGCGGCGCGTGTTGTAACCGGCGCTCGCGGGCCGGGCTACAAGGTCGCGCCCACAACCACCCTCGGGAGCCGCCTCCGGACCGCCAACCGGCCGGCCTCGTCTCGCCCGGTCACGTGACCAGGCGCGTGCTGCCGACACGCAGTCACGTGGCCGGACAATAACAGTGACGTGTTCGAGAACGGTATGATCGACTACAAAGATTAGAGGCGGCAGCCCAGTCGGTCCGCCGCTAATATCTGATATGGGAGTAGTCAGCCGATGCTGATCTTACGCAAGGGTGTAGTGTAATATTATGGTCATGGGGTTACCAGTTGGATGTCGGCAAGCATCTTCATAGAATGGTTGGCAATGCAGTTCGGGTTATGATTTGATACGCAATGACTGATGGCTCGGCCTGACCGCGTTCATCCAATGCATGATACCCAGACTGTGACCCGAGCTGCGACCTGCCTGGGACCGAGCTGTGACCTGGGTGACCCTGCGGCGCCGCCCGGGGTCAGAGGCGGCCTGAGGGGCGCCGGGCGCACCCTTGACCTAGCGATGCTCCGTGCAGAGCGGTGTTGCTTCATCATACCACCACGCGCGGGTGAAGAAACTGCGCCGGCCGCCGCGCGGCTGGGGGGTCGTTGCGGGCTGGTCTGCCGGCGCGCCCTGTTCGCCCCTCCCGGCTTGGGTAACGCGTGCCACGGCCGCGGACCGCCGGGTCAGCCGCAGTCCGGCGCGGCCATCCGTCAGCCGGTGACATGAGCCGCCGTCAGCAGCGGCAGAACACGGAGCGGCTGAGTGCAGGGGCTTAACTAACCGACCGGTCCGGCGACACGCTGCAATATGTGTTTCCATTGACACATTGCAGTGCTCTCCTACTGGCGAGGGTCAGTTGTCACTCAGACCGACCTCATCAGTCCCCGCTGAGTGACGTTTTCGTCGGAGCGTGACCGGTGGCCACGGTCGGCCGACGCTGACCGTGAATCCAGCCGGCGGACCACACCCGAGCTCTGCCTCCGCCGACACGGCCTTGGCAGCGCGCGCTGTGACGCCGAACCTGCCGAACCCATGGCCGGCGGTGGCAGCGGAGTGTCTCCCAGCGGTGAGAGACCCGTTAGCCGGCGGCTGCAGCCGGTGGTCGGTCGGTCAGGTCTCCAGGGAGTTGTCGGCCCGAGGAGTTGTTTACGCACGCCGTCTGCGTGCCGCGGCTGTCCGCCGCCGCGTGTAGTACCGCTGATTGCTCCTGGTCGACTGTTTTTCTCCGGCCGACTCTGCAGTGCCGACCGGGCCTGCGGCTCCTGCCGGGCTGTCTGGTGGCTTGCTCTGCTGTCTGGTGGCCCGCCGTGCTACTCCCCGCGGCAGGTGCCGGTGTCCGCCTGCCGCGCAGCCCCCGCGGTGGCTGATTTAGGGCGATGTTTTGCCGATGCCGGCCGCCGCGGGCGGTGATCGGGCGTTAACACGTTGGTGATTCCTGTGTGGAACCCTGTCGGCGCCGGCGCTCGTGCTGATTGCTGCCCCCGGCGGCTGCGGCGGCTCGGGTGGCGCCCGCCGGAGATGGGGTTCACTGACGCCCTCGTGTAGGTATGTTACCGTCTGCGGTTCTCCAGTCATTGCGCAGTGATCAGCGTCGAGGGCGGACCGCCGCCAGCCACGGCACGAGCTCCGTCAGCCGCAGCCGTTTTCTTTAGCGCCTGTAGTTTGGGCAGTCAAGGTTCACTAGACCCGCGACATGTGACCGATGTATCTAATGAGGTGGCCGCCTGGCCTGAACTAACCGACCGCGATTGTTTATTACCAAGCCGAACTGTGAGCATTCACCCCTGGTATATAGCCTTGGACGCTCGCCCTTCAGTGGTCGGCGTCCTTTTTGCCCTTGGTTTGATGATTGGGGACACAATTCTGAGTAAAACGGGTCTGGAACGGGCACGCCCATGGTAAATGGTTTGAGTCTCTGACTCGTCGGCCGATGACCCATCTCAGTTCACTGCCACCCGGGTTTGGGTTCAACCTGCTTGGCTCCAAGTCTAACCTGTTTTCCCAAGCTGTCGCTCTTCAATTTGAAAACTGAACTATGGTCACTATGACGTCAATCATTGTGACTCGACATTAAATGTCGTTTACTGAGATCGCTCAGCAATACTAATGCTGTTATGTGACCGTCGTGACTGCATGTATCTTTATGACAGATTCGAAATAATCGACCCTAAGATCGAGCTATTCAGGAATATCGCTCCAGACATGCCTGCGCGCCGTGCACCGCTCGTATCCCAGCACAAACAGCCCCCGCCCACGTCTCCTCGTTCACTTACGAACAGTCCTCCGGTGGATGACGAGATGGAGTCGGCATCCTCGCTGCCCGAGCTGGCGCCGCCGCTCTCGGCGTCATAGTCTCGTGCCGAGCGCGGTCCGGCGGCGAACCACGACTGGGCGCTCTCCAGCTGCGGGTGGCTCAGGTAGAACGACGGCCGGCCCGAGGGTGCCGTCTCCACCGCCGGCACCGTGAAACCGGGCAGCGAGCGCAGAGGCTGGGGGCGGACGAGCGATGGGTCAGGGTGGGAGGCAGTGCTGGCTGGGGACAAATAGAGACTGCGGCTGGGGACGGACAGACGGCGGCTGGGGACGCACAGAAATGGACTAGCAACATCATAAGAGGCTAGATAGATGTACGAGTCATTACAAGGGGGACAAGAGATCAGCATTGGTGCGACACTCCATAATTGGTATCGATTGGTTTCACGTTCGGGTCGAGACAGATTCTCTCCACCATGGTAACGGGACGTGAAATTGTCGTTAGCTATAGCGGGAGATGGAATCCATGGTGATATGAATCGCGAAAAATGTCCAGAGCCGCTGAACGGAACACTGTAAGGGTGTCTGGATCGCGTTGGATACGTGGACTTTTTCGGTAGCCTGGCAACATATCGTGTGCGTGATGAAGGCAGGATATGGGACCAGGATAGAGCCGCCGATTCGGGTGTGGTTAACGTGAAAAAGTCTCAGGGTCATCGGATCCCGTGACTGGGCGCGTGGTGCTGCGGTGGGAAAGACCGCGCTAACGGGAGTGCTCTGACTAATGGTCTGATCCGAGGCATTTTGGCAGGTGTGCCATGCTGGATTTGGAGATATCAGTTTGTCTCGGAAACCTACCTTAGTTGAAAGGTGGAATATTGAATGATCTTACTGAAAAGGGCTGGTTGATCTGATTTTGGGGCGCGGTCTCATTATTCTCCGCGGCTCGGACCCGCCCCGACCGTGGCTCATCTCCAGCGGAGGGGGGGGGGGGGGTCCTCCCCCAGTGCGACTCAGCGGGCCGGTCTGCGCGGCCTGCTCCGAACCCGTCCGAGAGGCGAGACGGGCTCGTTATCGGCAGCTGCGGCGGCGGGCCGGCCGGTTTTTGTTGACCGGGCAGTAACGGTGCCCGGAGTTCTGGTGATGGGCGAGGCAGCGGCCTCTGCCGTCGGCGGTGAGCCCCCGGCAGCCGGTCGGTGCGCGCCGCCCCCCGCCGTGCCGGTCCCCGCCCGGCACGGCCGCCTCTGTCACCGGCCGACCTGCCCGAACAAAGAGCCACCCGGGTCTGCAAAAAGCGGCCGCCTCCTCGGGAGATGATGAACCGCTCTTGCAGCCGCCTCCGCCGCCCGCTGCAGCGTGTTGTTGCAGCCGCGCGCCGTGGGTGTGCATTCCTTTTGTTGCGCCAATATTATTTGTCACAATGATTGTCAAGTTAGATAGTTGCTGCTCGTGCCGCCTAACAGGGTTGTTGACATTTGGTGGATGAAAAATACGGGTCGACCGCTTTATGGGAATTAGCTGTGCCTTTCTCGCGCAGCTAGCAAAATACCGCGGCACGTTTCGGGTCAGGGGCCACGAAAACATGCTCGGCTGTGAAATGCAGCGGCGCGCGACGAATTCGACTCACGACGTTTGAGCTGGACGACGGTTTGGGCTGATCGGTTCCGGAGGTGAACGTCTGGGACTAGTTGACACTCGGTAGCGGGACTGGGGCCTGGGCTCCCAGATTTTACTGCTGGACAGGTAGACTGTCCCGCAGTGCATGTCGCCGGCGCGGCGCGGTGACTACATTGGTGGAACTAAAGCTAACACCGGGAACTCCATCGTAGCACAGAAACGTATCACGAGAACGGACACTGGCGGGCGCGGTGTGCCACGCGCGGCCGATTGACACCGCCTCACCTATTCCATAATTTCACCATCCGCTGATTGAACTTTTAAGCGTGTGAGATTGCCTGTCATTTACAGCTGACATGCTGGGAAGGCGGAACCCTCCCCCGGAGCGGATCTACGGTGCTCAAAACTGGCCCCTGCCTGTCCCACCGGTCCCCCAACCCGTTCACAGCAGTCCGCTACCGGCGACACACCGGATTCGGCTCAAGGCTGGACCAAATTGGGAAGGTCGGCTAATCTTGGTTTTCACCATAAAGCTGGGGATGGACGAAGGACGCTGGAAACGCGTTATATCGACTAGAGGAACTCCTTGCCGCACTGTGTGTGCGGGTCGCCGGGACCCTCGGATCTACGTCTGTACCTCTGGCGTCGATCCCCGTTCACCTCGAGCGCACTGCCCCCGCCGCCGGCCACCGCGCGAGTTCGGGGAGCCGCCGGCCGGGTGGGGGCCCGGCTGACGGCGGCTCGGGGACGGGCCTTGACATGCTTCTCTGCCGAGCGGTGACGAGTCGTTCAGCCAGCCGCGCTGCCGTGTGGCCGACTATCCTCGGCTGCACCAGACCTGGCCTGCTCGCAGGAATACCCTTATGACTAGGATGGCTGCCTTCGGGTACCGCTTATCGACAAGGAAAGCCGACGGCGGCCTGCGTAGCGCTCGGATGGTTCGCTATTACGATGCTTAATGCAGAATTACTGATGTCGCCCATAGCTGGGCGACTGTCCCGAGCCTGGCTTGGCTTTCCTCATTCGGCCCGACTGTGTCCGACCCGTCTCGAGTCTGACTGCTAGCCTGGGATTGTTCTGCAGCGTTTCCGGCCGGGCGGTCTGGCTGCATTGATCGGCTCCGGTATGTAGTGTACCGAGAGCAGAATTGTGTTTTTTTTTTTAACGGCGGCCGCGGTCGTCGACTGCACCCGCACAGTCAAGGCCGGGCCACCGTTTTCACTTTCGTCGGCGACTCGTCTGCTAGCGGCGGAGCGGGCGGCTCCGGTTGGAGATCAGAGTACCGACTGAGGACAGCTGGTCGAGTATCACCCCGCACAGTGACCGCTCAGTGTCGCCGGTGACCGTGACGATAACTGCTCGGCCCGCGGTGGCCCGGGGCTGCCCAGACTGGGCCAGAGTGCGGCCGCAGCTGATTGCTCTGAATTGGCGTGCGAGCCGACCGGGCGATGAGGCAACCGTCGGCCGCGATCGTTAACCGGGGCACCGAGGGTGGTGGTGGCGGGAGTGGGGCCGGGCGGCGGCCGGCCGCGCCCCTGGGCACAATGCGCGCGCTCTGCGGGCGGGGGCGGGCCGGCCGCGCGCTGACCCTCTCCTGGTGGCCACTCCTGTCTGGAGCCGAGTGCTTACGCGGCTGCCGCAGGAGAAAGCTCGGGGCGACCTGCGACCGACCGGTTGAGAAACGGCAGCGGCGGTGGCGGGGCTCAGCTCTCGCGCTGTTGTTGATGTGACGTTTTGTAGCCTGGGGTTCGCTATCGGTGTCCCACGATAGAGGTCCATCGAAGGGTCGCAAGGGGACCGGGCCTAGGGCCTTTGGGATTGGGAGTGTTTACTTTGTTGGACTGGGACATTACATACATACGGAGTTGACAGGTCTTTGTATCAGCGAGTGATTTATTGATTTGGCAAGCATATTGGCTAAGATCATGAAGTTGTTGCTTGTATGCCTAGTTGCGAAGTCTCCTTAAGTACTCGTACAAATTTGGTAAACCATTAAGTTTGTATCGGACATGGGCGTTCGGTATAAGCTCCAGATGTTCGGTCACACCTGTGGCGCTTATGTTACTTCTACGGGTCAACAGCCACTCACCGTTCCCTCTCGTGAGGTCCACGCCTTGCTGGGAGAGCCGCGTGCCTTGTCCCTTCCGTCCATGGTGCTCGTCCGTTCGTCTGCGTGCGTGTGTGTCCTGGGCTCCTCTCGGCGGTCGGCGCTGGCGTGCCGCCTCTCCGTGGGTGCTCTATCGCAGTTCGGAGTGAACTCTCAATCAGCACGTTGGCACGCGCACAAAGTCCGGCGCTGGACGCTCCAACCACCTCTGTCGGCCGTCCGGCGCACACTGGCGCTGAACTCCGCCGTCACCGCCTGGCATAGCGGCGCGACCGGCCGGCCGGGCGGCCCGACCCGCGCCGGCGGCGCCCCCTGGCAGCCTTCTCGCCGGGACGGCGGCGGCGACCCGACCGTGACGATACGCCTTCCCTCTGACCGAGCAGCAGCCTTCCGGCGGTAACCAGGACACTCACACCGGGCTCCGACCTCCGGCTGACCCAGCGGTGACGTCACACAGGTCACGGTCGACTGGCGTCACCCGGTGATGACCGGGCACGGGGGTAGCGCCCCTAGGTCTTTTTGTTTGGTTGGTTGTTTGAAACTCATTATGCAGGCTCGTGGCTGGTGCGCACTGCACATTTTGCGCTGTTGCACGGTGAATAGGCCAAACTAGCACGTCATGCCGTTCTTTGGCGGCTGAGGTGTTGGTCAAAGCGTGACCGATGAGTCGGTTAGGATGTGAGGGGACGGTAGGGGCGTCGGTCAGTCGGGACGCCGTGACCGCCATGTCCGGTCACGGAGACAAGGTCAGATTGTGACACTGCTCTGACTGTCGCACGGACACACACACCGTGACAAAGAGGGCCGCCGGCAGTCAGGGGCGCACCTTGACCTTGCGTCGACGGCGTCCCGCGCCGACACCGGGTCGGGTGGCGATGTCACAACCGGAGCCGGCGCCGGCCTGCCAAGGTCGGGGCCCTCCCTGGGGGACGAGCAGGGGCCGTACCGGGCGGCGCGCCGGCCGTGAAATCGCACCGGTCCCTGCACCCCGTCCGCTGCCAGCGGCGCCGCCGGCGGCAGAGGGGACAGCCGGCCGGCGCTGCAGGACCAGTGACCACTGACCACCCTTTGACAGCCTCCGCCGCGCCGGCCGGTCGGCGTGACCTTGTCCCCGGCAGAGCTCTGCCGGGAGGCACCGATTGCGCAGGACGGCGGATTCTGCGCACCGTGCCCCAGCCAGCCAGCTGGCCGACCTCCAGCGGCCTCGGACAGACAGCCCTCCCCTCTGCCGACAGCCTTCTGAGGACGGGATCCCGGCTCATCCGCCTTTTTGTCAGGCCGCCAATAAAGCAGATCCGTATTTTTACCGACAGCTGTTTAATAGCTATCTCGGCAGTTTGATTAGATGTTAGTATAGTGCTAAGTAGATTGATTCTAGTCGGTTTTTGGCCGAATATATCACACTAGCGGGTGCTGGTGTTGTCCTTGCCCTTGGCAGTTGGCAACCAGGGTGCACTCACTCACTCACCGCTTCTCTTTGCACCTGGCTCGCCGCAGCAGGCCGGTACAATAACTCTGATAGCGCCGCTGTCCGTTGACCGTTCGCGTGGGAACGGCTCCATGTGAAGTTTTTGGCTCGGTGTGATGACTGGCCGTTTTGTCTGAGCGGGGTCATTATCTGCGTTCCAGTCTGGTCGCTCTCTGAGCCGCCGGCCGCAGCACCTGACACCGTCGTGCCTGTCCCTGTCTTGCGCCCCGTCCGCCGGTTATTTTGCAAGTAGGCACGTTTCTGATAACGTCGCCGTGTGTCCATGAATCGGAGAGCCTTCAGTCGGCCTGACTGTAATCCGGGCGGTTTGGGCTGATCCTCTGAGCCGTACCCACCAGCCCTGACCTTTCCCAGGTAGCTGTCGTGGCAACTCAGGTACCTTACAATCCCTTGTAACATCGTCTCCATGCTGCAGCTTAGCTGTGCCGTTCTTCAGTTTCTCTGGTATCGGGCCCACGCTGTGCCATATCCGGCTGAGTTGCTGCCGAGCCGCCCTCCCCCAGCCTCGGTCAGCCGCCCACATTATCCCCGGTCTGAACCGCCCCTCCCGCCGCCCCGGTCTGACAGTGACCTTTCGTGTCCGGCCCGCGCTGACCGTGAGCCGCGCGTGTGTGTGTATGTTCGTGTGTGTTCGGGCCGGATTTGCCGGGGCGGCGGCGGTTCTGAGATGACTGTACCAGGTGTCGGTCGCCGCGCCCCGGTCCGGCCGGACCTGGGCGGCCTTTGCGCCCGCCAGCCGCTATTTGCCACCGCCAGTGTTTGCAGCCGATATCTGATGGAGGCCGATCCGGCAATGGGTGGATTATTTGAACCGCTCCAGCAGCGATTAGATTTCCTTGAAAGTGGGCGGACCGCAGTGTTGACTGAAACGAGGGCAGATACCATGGCACTTTCCGGGCAAAGCGTGTCACTTGGCGTGGCACATGGCGTGTTGCACAACACCACCCAGTCCGAGTGGTCAAGTGGCCGTGTTTGCCCCAGTAACCTGCAGCGGTCCTGTGAGGGGTCTCATTCCGATCGCTGCGGACTGCTCACGGGCGAACTGTCCGTCAGGAAGTGATGAAGGATTTGTATGCCGCCGGCTGGAGGCGCCCTTGTGTGCCGCCTGCCCGCAGCTCACTGACCACGCCTCGCTCCGCCGGCTGACGCACCGTGAGCCCGACTTCCGCGGCCGGACACGTCCGGTTCCGCTCCCCCCCCCCCCCCGCCTCTGTCTCCGCCCGGAGCCGGGGTCGGCGGCGGCGGACCGAGCCCCTCCGGCTCCTACTGCACCGCCATGAGAGACCGGGGTGGTGAGCTGACACCCCGCAGAGTGGTGAGCTGACGCTTCCTGTGACGGCGTCTTTTCCTGAGCGGCTTACTCCGCTACCGGTCCGGGTCTGAGTGACCCATTTGCAGCATTGACGGCGGATAAGCCGATAACTCTTCTGTCCACTCTGTCTGGATCAGTCGTTTTCAGCGTCCGTTTGTGGCCTCGGAGAGGCGGCGCTGTCGGCTCGGCCTGCAGCGATGATCCCCGTTCTTTGACAGCGGCGGCCGGCGCTCTGCAGACCGCCCCGTTCCGCGGTGTCGCGGTCTGCCTGCTCGCCCGGCCGCCGTGCCGTCGACAGCGGGTCTCCGGCGGCGGTCGTCGACCCGGCGCGGCCGATTCCCACCAGACGAGTCGTCGGCCCGGCTGTCGACGGCTCTCGGCAGCTGACAGCCGGCGGATTACCGTCATTGGGAGATGGTGCGAGCCGACACACGCACATACCGACCATGCGCCGCCGGCCGGTTCTCCGCTCCGGCCGGGTGGCAACGAAGAGTTGGTGAGAGTCGCCGGGCGGTGGTCACTGATGATGGGCACTGAGCGTGCGGATTAGCAGCGATAGAGACAGCACGGCGCGTTTCCCGTCCGATGATCCCTCGTTTCCCGGAAAATTTGCAGTTGGACGCGTTCGGTTATGCAGAGTGAACCCCGAACAATGAACACAGGTATGTGGTATGCAATCACTTCACCACATTTTGATCGGGGCGATTTTTTATCGAGGGCAATAATTTTAAATAGAAAATTACTGCAGAGAACGACGACACGGCTAAGATGTGGCATTTAAATTTCTTATGCTATTTTAAGTGATGCTGAAATAATATCAGATACCTGTGCGTAGTTTACATCTAATTAACGTGTCTCCGTACTCATCACTGTGAGGTATGCTGCAGCAACTAATGGCTTGTGCAAACTGCGCAGCGCAGAGGGATTTTATTATTCAAGGCAAAACTGAGGCATGGCGAACGCCAGTATTGATACTTCGCGCACTGCAAGTGAAATGTGAAGGCACAACTACGTGATACCCACGCCCAATCTTAGATCGCTGCGATATTATATTTGTATATTTGTTGGCTAAGCTGGCTGAAGAGAAGAGGTTAGCAGCTTGGACCGATGGGATTTGCGCGGCCCCCCCAGCGAGGACAGGTCGTACAAAATCACCTGCAAATTCCTGATTCAACGGGATGATGGTTTCAATAGCTGAGGTGATGCGCACGATATATCCGACGTTTAAGTGACGCTGTTTCACCGCTGCTTTGATGAGGTGGGAGTCGCATTTCCATTTCAATCAGTATTTCATGCTTGGGGAAGTTTTATGAAAGATGACAGCGGACCCATTTTCGCCTTTTTTGCTGTTATTTGAGGGATGTTCTTTTCCTCCGCCTTCGCCGGTAATGTCATTAGAAATCTACAAGGAAATAATAGTTCTGCATGGTATGCTGCTTTTGTTTTTGAAACTAGTGTTTTTGTAACTGTTCTCACTGTAGAAGTGTTGGGTATTGGAGCGCCTGCGAAATGACATGGACGCCATGCGCCAAGGTATTTCTGCACCCGATCCTCGAGTCATACCTGCGAGCCGTGTCGATGTTTTCCCTAGACCGGTGGGGCTGCCATGAGCTGAATCACAGGTTCGCCAGTCTTTGCAACTGCAACCTCCACCAGGCTATCAAATGCTGAAATATGTTGCTATTATTGAGATGACAGCTAAAATATTTCTGAACTTGAGACATTATCGAATGGGCGCAAAATGACCTTTGTAGTCGGCGCGCCCGAAAGACCCAATACACGAACAAAAAATGAAACATTGAATAAATGTGTTTTAAACGGAGAGTTCAGAAGGGTATAGGAGCTCCGAGATCACTCAGTGGAGATAGATACCGACTCCTCAACTCCTCGTGAAAACCTTACATCACCCATCCCACTCCTGGATGACTGGTTGAGACTGTTATAACGCGTCTGTCGTGTCGGCGCCGCGCCGGAACCACGGCTGTGGCGGCCGGCGCGTCGAGCCGTGACCCGGTGGGACGGGGACGGGCCGGGACCGTGTCTCCGGCACGGTTTTTCCGTGACTGGCACCGGCGTGAGACGGGGTGTCGGGAGTGGCCGTCATGAGATGCCTACAGTCGTCAGGTGGGTCTCAGTTGGTATTGGTAACGATTAACAAGCGAATGCCGTTCCAACTCTGATATGGTGGCGCGCTCAAATCCTAATCGTTATCACGATGATGATTGGCGCGCGTTCAGCAGGTCCTTGTGTTCATGTTAGATGGCTACTAGTTAGAGTATGAAGCTAATCAGCTTCACTTGGAGATCCAGGACACAAGCTATGGGATCTTCTACTGGAATTTGTAGTCAGCGTTCTCCTCATATTGTCCATTTTTATCGGGAAAACAAGACTCGGCAACTTTGGGCATGTCAGCCCTCGTGTCTGTGTACCAAGAGATCAGCCGGGATTAGGTCGGTGTTTATCCGGTGAACGGGAGGCTGTGTGCATGCGGTTACAGATCAGGGCGTGTTTCAGTTATCCTTTTGTCTGTTTTTTATTTTGGCGGACCATTCCCTTCCGTTTCCGGAGGGGCTCATGCTCCACGGATCTTGATTTCTGCGTCTTATCTTGCGTTCGGTTTTGCCAAACAGCTATTTCCCGAAACTGTCTTGAGCCTTGGAAGGTGTTTTGAGGCCGCATAGAGATGTTATGTAAGGTGTATGCATGTTACTTACCACTTTTTATCATTTCTCAAACGCCATGTGCATTATAACGGTAATGTTCATTTTGGCACGTAGGCTGAGATCAGAAGTTCTACTGAGCGCAACCGAGGTTAACATTTTCCTTGTATGCTCGCTAAGTATGAAGTTTATTGCCATCATCATGCTTGTTATAACAATGGAACCTCTTTCGGGAGCGGAATTCTCCGATACATATTCTGTTATCTTTGGCTTTGTCATATTATCACCTTTTTGGAAGTATGGGTCCTGCTATCTGCTTGAAGTTCGGGCTGCTGGTGCGAACGTTATACCTCCTGAGCAGTGAGCAGGTCTTGTTCGTCGGAATAGACTGCCTCCCGTCCGCTGACTGGCCGGCTGTACCTGTTCAGGGGGTGCCGCTGACCGGCCGCGGCGCTGAGGTCACAGAGTCGGCGGCCAGTCGTGAGCCGCGCCAGCAGAGGTCGATCCGACCCTGCACCCTTCCCACTGACCACGGTCTCACCTCTGTCCGTGAACTTGGCAGACCACCGTGTTTGTGTATCAGCCTCGGGTGGAAGCGCTGAATAGACGCCC